CTGCCTCTTTCCTGGCTTCCCCACTTCCTCTCTTCTTTTCTTTTCCTGGGACCTGCTGCCTGCCTGCTCCGTGGCCTCCCCAGCTCTTGACGGTTCGCCATCCCCTGCTGCCCGCCTGCTGCCTGTCTCTTTTACATCAGGATCCCATGGACTCTGTGCCCCTCCTGTGTGAGGAGCGAGCCTCCACAGGCACTTTCCAACACAGCCCCATCTCTGTCCCTGGCTTTGCCTCTCTCTCTCTGGGGCTCTCCAGTTGCTTTTTCTTTTCTCTCCCCCGTTCTCTGTTTCTCTTTCCCTCTCGCCATCCTGCCTGGGTCCATAAGGCTGAACCTCCTGTCTCATGCCGGGGCCTTGGACAGTCCTGTGGGGTTGGGGGCAGGAGGGCTGGGGTCCTGAGGACTGGAAGGAATGGAGGGGCACAGCTGGGGACACAGAACTCACCAGCTCCTGGGAGAAAGGCTCCTGGAATTCCAGAAGCCCCTTTCTGTGCCCCACCCTACCCAGAGGCCTCCCACAGCGCCTCTGGGGGTCCCTGTCTTTAGAGGATCCTCAGAACAGTCCTGCGTCCACGCTTCCTGAGAAGCAGGCTCTGGGCGGCTTTGGGGGAGTCGAGGATGAATTAGACTCAGGCTTTGCCCTTGGGCGGCTCCCAGGCTGGGAGAAAGGGCCCAGGCTTTCTCAACAAGTATTTCTTGAGCACCTACTTCGAGTCAAGCACTGTGTTTGCTCAGCTGTTTAGCTGGGTGATCTTAGCCAGTGTCTCATCCTGAGTCTGCTTCCTCATCGGTAAAGTGGGCTTGTTGTACATACATCAGAGTACCCAGAGCAAGTCTGCCAAGGCCTGTCAGGGGTGGGGGTGGGGCCAGGAGGTGTGGTCCTCAATCCAAATTGGTAAGACCTAGAACCTTCCAGGGCAGTACCCTAGATCCCACACCAGACCCTGAGCCCAGGCCCCACTGGTCGCTAGGTAACCCTGGTGGTGAGTGACGCGTGTCAGCTGTCACCGTGGGGGATTGTTTGTTCCAGGGGGCTGAGTCAGCGCCAGGCAGCCTGGGGGGTGGGAGGCGCGACACCCGCTGCCTGCTGGTGGTGCCAGCTCTAGGGCAGACAGACGGCACCCTTCCGCTCCCTGCTGGACCCTGTTGCTATGCCTGGCAGGCAGGCGGCTGCCCAGAGTCAATGGGGAATTGGGGGTGCTGCTCCAGATGGCCCCACCTCCCTTCAGGAAGTCCATGTTCTCTCCCTCTGAGCCGTCTGGGGTCCGGGATGCTTGGGGGTGGGCCCGCTGCCTCATCCCAGGGCTAGTGCTGAGGGGAGGGGACCCCAGAAGCCTCCTCTGCCAGCCCTCTTCCCATGCCACCTCCCCCCAGTTCTGCCACATCATCCCCTCAAACACCTGCTCCCCACGAAAGTTCCCTATCCCAGTGAAGACACTGCCATCCACCAGATGCCCCAACACCTGAAGGCACCTCAGGCCCCTCTGCCTCCACTCCACCACCATTTAAGCCTTCTGCAGTTTGGCTTCTAAATAGCTCCAGAATCCATCCACACCTTTCCATCCCCACTGCCTCTCCTCACTCGGATCACCATCCGGGCCACTCCTCCAACACTCCAACAGTCCCCTCAGTAGTCTGGCCTGAGTGTGATAAAGTGGTTAAGGATTTTAACTCTGGGGTTTAACTGGGTTAGAATCCTGACTTGCCACTAACTAGCTGTGTGGCCTCCAACAAGTCACTTAACCTCTCTGTTTCCTCATCTGCAAAACAGAAATGATAATACCAGTACCTACATCATCAGGTCGTTGCAAGCATTAAATGAGTTAATAAACACAAAACCTGCTGGCATAGAGTAAGCATCATGTATGTCTTGGCTGGGACTGTTAGCCAGTTTGTACTTCCTGCTCCATCAATCCTAAAACATCAACCTGACTGCCCCACTCTGCAGCTTTGTATCCCTCAATGGTTCCCTATTACTTTTGTGTTCAAGTCCAAACATCTGGTCTGGCCTCACAGGGCACTCATGTCTGGCTCCGCTGACCTTGGCAGCAGCCCACCTTTCACCATCGCCTTCTCTCTTCCCACTCGCCTCACACTTTCACTCTAGCCCTGTGGAACCTGCAGCTTCCTGAATGTTCCTTGTTCTTTCAACCCTCTGCCTTTGTACTTGCTGTTCCTGCTGCTCGGACTGCCCTTCCCCCATTTGTTCACTAGACAAACAACTACTCAGAGTCCAGCCCGAACCTCCCATCACCCCCTATGCTGGATCGGGCACCTACCCCAGGTTCTCCCTGTACCCCACAACACTGACCACCCTGGAATGCAGTTCACAGTTCTCCTCCCAAGCCTGGGGTTCCTCCCGGGGCAGGGGCTGTGCCCCAGGCCTCTGGGGCCCCAGTGCTCAGCTCAGGGCCTGGCAGAGAAGACACCATCTGTTGGGATGTTCTGGATGGAGGTGTAGTGGACATGGCCTGAACTAGGCATCAGCACACTAGGGTTCCACTCCAGACTGTTGTGTGACGTTGGACCAGGCCCCGCCCCTCCCTGGGCCTCAGTTTCTCCACTTTTGCAGCAAGCTCCATCTGGTCTGGTCCCCATGTATGAATTCCTATCCCACAGAAGGACGGGTGGGGGGCCATAAGCAGCTGCCCCAACCCTGACGGGCACACGCCCCTCCCCCAGATCATAGCCTTTGACGAGCTGCGGACGGACTTCAAGAACCCCATTGACCAGGGGAACCCAGCGCGGGCAGTAAGTGATACATGTGCTGTGCCGAGGTGTGTCCGTCCGTCTGTCTGTCCCGGGCGAAGAGCGGGGTGGGGGACGGGAAGACAGGGTTGGGGGGGCACGGCGGCCATGCCCCTTCCTCTGTTCCCGCCCCCAGCAAACACCTGGCGCGGGCTCAGGGCTCGGGTTCCTCCTGGTGGGGCGGCCGTTGCCAGGCTCTGGGCCGTTTCCGTGGAGACGCGGGTGAAGGTCCCTCCATGGTGACGGTTGCCATGGGAACGGCGCGGCTGCTTTCTTGCCGCGCCGACACCGCAGACACTGCTCTGGCGCCCCCTGGCGGCCACGTGCAGAACGGTAGGGGGTGCGGAAAGGTGGTGGGGCGCCCCCAGTGCGTGCTCCTCTGCCTCTCCCATCGCGGCTTTTTCCTCCCCCTACAGCGCGAACGTTTGAAAAACATCGAACGCATCTGCTGCCTCCTGAGGAAGGTCAGTGTCAGGGCCGGGGTCAGGAGGCTCCTAGCCCAGCTTAGGCCCACTCACTGTGACCCAGAGCCGGGCCTCCTCTGGGGCATTTCATCAGCTCTGCCACCCGGGAGGGAGCGGGAAGCTAGAGGCCTCTTTAGTCCCTGGAGGTCTCGGTGGGTGGCACCTCCCAAACCCCAGCTCCCCTCTGTGCCCTTGAAGCTTGCTTGGGTCTGTCCGGACACCAGGCCGCTGACCTCTGACTCTCACTCCCCAGCTGGTGGTCCCAGAATACTCCATCCACGGCCTCTTCTGTCTGATGTTTCTGTGTGCAGCAGAGTGGGTGACCCTGGGCCTCAACATCCCCCTCCTCTTCTACCACCTCTGGAGGTGAGGGGAGCAGCTGCCTCAGGGAGGGTGAGATGGGGGAGCAGGGGCAGGGTGGGGGTGGGAGCCTTGATGGCAGGCACTCAGGCCCCTCCCTCGCCTAGGTACTTCCACCGCCCTGCAGATGGCTCTGAGGTCATGTATGATGCGGTCTCCATCATGAATGCTGACATCCTCAACTACTGCCAGAAGGAGTCCTGGTGCAAACTCGCCTTCTACCTGCTCTCCTTCTTCTATTACCTGTACAGGTGAGGCCCTGCCCACAGCAGTCAGAAGTCAGGGAAGGGATGCTCCAACCCCAGGAACCCTTGGGCCCCAAATTCCTGCCTTTGCCCTTAAGGACTGAGGGCAACCCATGGTGTGACAGGGTGGGTGGCCAGTGGCTGGGCCTGTTCAAGACTCGGCTCACTGCCTCGTGTTCCCACAGTATGGTTTATACGTTGGTGAGTTTCTAAGGGGGAAGCCGGCCAGGGAGCGAGCCCAGAACGGACCGGACGCCTGTGCACCCCCAGCCCTGCCCCTCGGCCACAGAGGCCTCAGCCCTGGGGAGGGAGGGGGCACTGGTGCCCCCAGCCTCCTCTCCACCCCCCAAACTGCTGCTGCGGGGACCGCCCGCCTTCAGAGCCCCCTCCCCTTGGACCAGGGCTGGGCAGAGCTCTAAATAGGGGCAGGGGCTCCTCTGCCGGCCTGTGGGCATGGCAGTCAGTCCTGGAAGGGGTGGGACCTCTGGCCTTGTCCACTTCAGGGGGAACCTGGGCCCTGCCAAGGGGCAGAGCTTGACCCTGGAAATTCTGGGCCGCCCCTCTCTACCCCCACCTTGAGGCTCCCCCTGCAGGTGGGGGGGTACCTGCACCTGGAATGAGCAGGCTCAGCAGGGGGGCAGCCCCACCCCTAGTCTGCCCTCTCCCCTTCCCCAGGCTCCTTCTCCAGACCCCTTCCTGTCCCCACGTGCCCCAGCCCCAGCCTATTCTGTCTCTTGGACCTATTTTCTATGTCGCCTGGAGGAGTCCGGCACCCCCTCCCCGGCCATTTGTGACAAAACATGAATAAACGACTGCAAACACGTGGGCCCCAGTTGTGCTCCTGAAAGGCTTGGAGAGGAGAGGGGGGCAAAGGGACTGGATAGGGGGCAGCCCCAAGCTAAACCCCCAGCACAGCTAGGCTCACCCCACCGGCCCTTCAGATCAGAGGCCTTCAAGGTCTCCTTGCCAGCTGCCCCCTTCCATCCTCACTTTCTCGGCCACAGATGAACAGCTATTCCAGCTGAAACCCATCCATCTGCCTTTCAAGGCAGTATCCAGGCCACCAACTCTAGGAAGCCCTCTCTGGGTCTCCCTCCTTCTAGACAGCCCCAAACCTGGTCCCCTCGACAATGCAGAGGCCCAGAGGTGTCAGCAGCTTCCCTCAGGCCCCAGAAACAAGGGTCAAATGAAATCAAGGAAATAAAATCTTCAATGTATGCAAAAATCAGTGCCAGTGGGGCTAGGGGTCACCGGACCAGGTGGAAGGTCAGCCAGTATATGATGAGGGGCTGGAAGGCCGCAGCTCCCAGAGTCAGGTAGAGCTGGAGACGCTGCCGGGGGGCCGAGCCTCCCACGCTGTCAGGGCCCAGGGCTGCTGTTCGCAAAGAGCGTACCTGGAGGAAAGGAGAGAGCTGAAACTGGGCCAGAGGGGAGGCTCCAACCCCAGGGGAAGAGCAGGAGGGGGCAGCCCAGACTCACGAGGAAGTACATGAGGGCAGAGGAAGTCCAGGCCCATGCCACGTAGTAGCCATCGCTGCCGAAGACCAGCCCCGTGAGCACACTGAGGATCATCCTGTGAGGGTGGGCACAGGAGGAAGAGAGGCTGGAAACCCCTCAAGGGTCCAGGCCTGAGATTGGCCCCACCCACCACCACCGGGGCCCTTTACCCCCAATCTACCTCCAGAGGGACCTGGACTCACAATGAATCTAGAAGGCCCAGGACTCAGCCCTAGGACCTGTATCTGAGATCCCTCAGCTCAAGGCCCTTCTCCCCTGTGCTCCCAGGGTGCCTCTCAATACATCCCTGACCTCCTGAACAACACTGCACAGCTGCTGAGGAGACTGCTGAGCACAGCTGGTCCCTCTAATAGAGAAGGCCGAGAGAGGGGCAGAGGGCTGCCCAGGGTCACAGTTTGAGGCTACAGCTATGCAGGCCCCTGCCCCAGGCCAGCCTTGCACCCGGCCCACAGGTGCTCACCCCACGTATTTGTAGCCGCTGTAGGCCAGCAGGTGGAAGGTGCTCAGGTCACTGCGCACGGTGGCCAGGTAGACACCCAGGAGCAGGGCTAGCACCTCTATCACGACCCACACCAGCGCCGTGCTCGCACACAGACCCAGCACCTCTGGGGAGAACCTGCAGCCATGGGGTGGGGGGGTAGTTGAGAACCAGTCAGCCTGTGGCAGGGGTGAGGCTAGGGGCACGGCGGGGGGCTAGGGACCTGGCACAGATCCCCTTGGGAGGTGAGGAGAGGAGCCAGGAGGGGGAGGTGGTGGGAATGGAGAGGGGGTCGGCACTGACCTCTTTTGAATGCCAAGTGCCATCCCAGCCAGCAGCACGTAGGTGATGAAGGCCATTGCTGCCAAGAGCCAGACAGACGCCATTAGCCTGACCGCCTCAACTAGAGCCCCTCACCCCCACTAGGCATTCGAGGCCACTGACACCCCTTCTCTTCCCCCCATACTTCCTTCCCTGCATATCCCAACATGCCCGACTCCACGCTCAGCTCCCCAGTGCCCTGCCTGGGGAGGACACCCACCCTGTGTAAATGCCACCTGACCCTTCTCTCAGGACCAAGCCACCTCCTTCCCTGTCCCTGTGCCCGGAAACTCACCAAGTGTCTCGAAACTACATCATGGGCCAAGGCCATTGCTCCTCCTAGACCAACAGGCAGGGCCAAACTGATCTCAGGCAAGACTATAGGAGCCAAATGCAGGCTCGGGGGACAACCCAGGCTGTCCCTGGAGTCTGGACCGTGGGGATGACCTCGTCTCCGCCAGAAATTCTAAGTGAGGCATCGGCGCTGGCTATGGCTCCAGCCACCGTGCCCATGTAGACAGCTCCATGTTTAACTCCGCTGTTTGCACAAAAGCTCAGAGCCAGTGGGCTGGGCTTTCATGGCAATTGTAACTCATCAGTCCTGTCCTCTGCCCCTTGAAGCACCAGAACTGATGTGCCCACTCACTGGCACAGCGTCTGGAATCGGGAAACCAGCTCTACCACCTAAGCTGTGTGGCCTCAAAGATACTCAAGTCTCTCTGAGCCTTGGCTTCAGCATGTAAAGTGGGGATGGCAGCGCCCACCTTACACAGTGGCTGTGACAGGGAAGCGAAATGAAGGATGGAGAAAGAAGCTGTGGCCCTCCTGGGCAACGGGGCTGGCTGCCTGCCCTCACTCCCAGTGCCACCCTCCTGGCACTCTCTGAGGGCTGGCTGTGGCGCCCTCACTCCTCCTCCAGGGTGTCCACCACGGCCTTGCCTGTGCAGGCGCCAGGACAGAGAGAAGTCGATGCAGAGTCTCCCAGCCACGGCAGAGTGTGGGCGGCCTGACCCATGCCATGTGGATGGGCAGTTGCAGGAACCCAGAAGGCACTAGGAGATGTTGGAGCAGGACTTGGGGGACAGGTAGTAACGAGGATAACAGCTCATATTTCCTTCGTGCTTCCCGCGGGCCAGTGCTAAGCGTATATTGCCTCACCAAATCTCCACAACTCCTCTGAGGCAGGGACTCTTGTTATTCCCATTTCATAGAAGAGTGAAGGAGCCAGCCTGAGGTCCTGCAGCTGGGAGTTGCACAGCCAGGTCTAAACCCAGGGCTCCAGGCTCGGGAGGGACGTGGGCCAAGTCAGGAGGCGGAAAGGTCTCCAAAGGGAGTACCCTGAGGGCACTGAAGGCACATCTGGGCAGCTCCTCCCTGGTCACTTCGCTCCCTCTACCTGGTGTCTAGCGACCGCCACACACAAAAGCACCAAGAGCAGATGCTGAATCAACACACGAGCCTCTCTCTTCTCATTGGTGCCTCAAGGCACAAGGCCCCCCTGTCCCCCCGCCCAAGTCAAAGACTCACTGGGGATATAGAGGTCAGGGGCGTTGAGGTCTTGCCGCGGGGGCAGAGGCACATCACGACTGTACTGCACTTCCCAGTTCTGGCAGGGGCAGCAGCGGCCAGGTCAGGAGGAAAGACAAGAGAGGAAAGACGGGGATTGAGGTCTAGGGCCAGACTCTGGGGCAGGATGGGGGAGGCAGGGGGACCCGCCAGCTCACCTGGTGCGTGTAGGGGAAGACCAGTAGCCCTAGCTTCTTGGCCACATAGGCTGTGTCCACAGCAAAAAAATACTTGAGTTTGTTCACAGACACGAAACGGTGCAGCTGGTAGGGGAGAAAGGAGGCTGTGGGCAGGCTGCACCCCAAACCTCGGGGTGCTCCTCTGTGTGCTCCTTCCCTGAGGGCTGCTGTGAGGATTAGGTGGGATCCCGTGATGCCCCAGCCCTGGCCAGAAATCCTGCCCCCCTTGCCCTGGGGGCGGGCCACACCTCCTTGTGCACCATGTCCTTCCCATGGGATGCAATGGAGCTGCCATAGGCCATAGCCATATTGGCCATTGGGTCCCCAAGCAAGTGGTTGACATTGAAGGTCACGTCCGCTCCTGGGGCTGGGTATCCCCCTGGCTGGCTGGAGTAAGCACCGCTGGTGTCATCGAAGAGGGGAGGGGGATCCGGAGCTGCACGAGCCCTGTGCTTGGAGCCTGTGGGTTTGTAGGTACCAGAGTAGGTGACAGGAATACCAAGCACAAGCCCAAACCACGGCCCCTTCCCCAGGCTGGGCAGCCCTGTATGGGTCCTGGGGGCACCACACAATCAGTGAGGGAGACCCTGGCTGGATGTGGGGTAGCTAACCCAGAGAGAGCTTTGATGAGGGATCCTTTTCGAGAGGTGCTTAATGTAGGCAAAGAGCGAGCTGAGACAGCCCCTGGAAATGGTTGCCCACGTGGGGGTTCCTGGGGGCCTTCTCAAGGGAAATGACTTCTGAACTGAGCCTCAGAGAACGAGTAGAAGTTTGTCAGGTGGAGAAGATAATTGAGAGGGCACCCTCGCATGAACAAGGGGGGAAAGGCGACGGCTGGGTACCCGGAGGCCGTGGGCAGTGATCAGGGACCCTGCCAGGGTCATGACAGAAAAGTTCTGGAGGCAGACCCTGTGCGTGCTCGGGTCGGGCATGGTGATCCCAGCGGTGCTGCCATGGCCCGATAATTGGGCCGAGAGGGCGAAGTCCGGGACGCGTCGCAGAGTCGCGCGGGGGCAGGAACCCCAATGACATCGCCGCCCTGGCAGCGGTCACGGCTGCCCCTCTCCCACAGGGTGAACCGGCCGCACAGCCGACTCTTCTCCGGCCTGTCGGGCCGCGCCCCGCCCACCCCGTGCCCCACGCACCGTGGGCTCCGTAGCCCGAGTGATAAGCCATAGCCGCGACGCTCGCTCTCCCCGAAGGCCCGCTGCGCCGCCTCGTGGGGACGAATACTAATAAGGCAGCTGCTCCGCTCCCTGGGCACCGACACAGGTTACCGACCAGCCCGACACGTCCCCCGGCTGTCCGACCACAGCCGCCATGGCCACAGCGTCATCCTCCGCTGCCTGCCATTGGCTCCTCGGCGGCGCCGGCTCTCCCTTCCCCTCTCCCAATTGGCTACTGGTGCGCCCTGGCCGAAGCGGATTCGGCAGTAGTCAACTTCCGGGCGGGGGGATAGGCGGAGCAATTCGAGGCGCTCTTGGATTGGATAGTAGGATTGCTAGTTCGCGGCCGGAGCAGCCAATAGATGTGTTAAGGCAGGAGGGTGTTGAGAATTATTACCGCGCCTGCGCAATGGGGCACTTGACGCTCGCACTGCCACGACTACACCAGGCGGAGACCCGGCGGAGGCGGGCGGCGCTTGGAGTCTGGGAACGAAGCTTCTCTCGCGGGACGTACTCCAGGAGGGAGTGGGGCGGTGGGGCTCTGACCAGGCCCCGCCCCTCGGGGCTCCTGCCCCTCCCATTCCACGCTCGCTGTGCTCACCCGTCCCCCACATTCTCCCCAGTCCTGGTGCGGAGCACAGGTAGAGTTGGAGGTGTTGATAGGAAGCCAGGCGGGGCGGTGACAGCGCGGCCGAGCGAGCCCCGGGGTGCTGGCTCCGCCTCCCGCCTCACACCCCTCCTTTCCGCGCGGGTGCTGTCCGTCGTCTGGTGCTGAAATGCCCTACCGCCACCGCCGCCATCCTGAAGACCCCGGGGGCCTGCTGCTGGGGGGCTCTGGGCTCTCGATCCGCACACTCACCCATTACACATATCGAAAAACAGAGGTCCAGAAGATCTGAAGTCCAGAGACTGGGCGGTAGAGTTGGGACAGGATCCTGCACCAGGCCTGTTCGGTGGACTCTCCCGTGGTCCAGCCGATTTGCGGGTGGAGGTGTGCTGATCCGCCTCCTGACGCTGCGGTTGAAACTCCTGATTCATTGCCGGCCCTGCGGTCACCTCGAAGTGAGACCCCCAAGCCTCACTCGTGATCCCGGAGGCTCCTTTCTGTCCACCCAGTCTCGACCACTCCCACCCTCTCCGGAGACAGTCTTCAGGGGCCTCCCTTCTCAAGACCTTCAGCTACCACCTTCTAGAAAGTAAGATCAGGTCCTCTGCGACTTGTCTCTAGTTAGCAACCCAGTGTCCAGTTACACCAGGTGACCTTCCTGCTCTCCCAACTCAACCCACGTGGTCCAATCTCAGTGCCTTTGCCCAGAAGTGCCCTCCACCTGGGATGCCCTTCTCCCTCATATCCGCTTGTCCACAGCCTGGTTATCCTTTCAGAGGCAGTTCAACCTGTGCCTCTCAGAGAGAGGAAGGGAACAGAGGCCTGACTTGCCTTGGGGTGGAGGCTGGAGGCCAGGTTCTAGGCTCCCTTTGGGTGCACCAGTTTGCCCTGGATGTAAATTCCACGAGGACAGAGCCTATTGTCATTCTCCACTCCTACCTTTGTCTTCACAGTGCCAAGCACAGTACTTGCGTATAAAAGACACCCAGTAAACATCTGTGCCCAATAAATAAATAATAAATAAATGGATGAAATCCTGGGTCAGTCTTTTCCTCTCTCCACCATTTCAGTTACTTCACCTTTAAATGGGTAGGGGTGTTGAACCGAATGGTCTTTGCACTGACCTTTGCAAAAAAAAAAAAAAAAAAAAATCACAAAACAAAACAAAACCCACCTAGCATTGCAACTCCGTATGTCTCACCTACTGATTTGCTAGCTTGGAGGCGAGGCTCAGACTGGGGATAGGTGTGAAGATCTGAGGCCCCTGAGTGCCAGGGAGCAGCACGGGGTCCATGGGTACCTGGGCGGGGGTCCTCCCATGCAGGACAGATCCCAGTCCCCTGTACCACATGATGAATGCTTACACATTGAATTCAACACCTTTTATCCCCATTTCTCAGGTGAGAAAATTGAGGTTGGAGATGGAGAGTGCCGGCCCAAGGTCAGGCAGCCGAGGGCCCCCGGGTGTCCTGGTCCCCAGTCTGCCCGCTCTAAGTGGAGCCCAGCGCCTCTGCCCAGTTCATAAGGCTCATCACACCTCTCTGGGCTGGAACGGTCCCCTCTCCTACAAGCGAGGCTTCCGGGGTGGGGTCTGGGTGTGTTTAGGCCCGGGCCTACTCCTCAGAGACAGGAGCTCGCCAGTACCCAGCTCCTCAAGATTCCCCCTCCTCATTTTGCAGGGGGGGAAACGCAGGCCCCAGAGAGCAAGGACTCGGCCAAGGTCGCCAGGGCGAGTGCGGCAGGAGGGGACCCCGGGCGTCGTCCGCCCGGCCGGGGCTGCTCGGGGGCGGGGACGGCGCCCGCGGTGCCAGGCG